GGTGGTAGGCTATATAAGTTATTTTATCCTAGTTTCAAGTTATATAGCGCTATAACTAGTAAGATAAGTTTAGTCTATTAGTAATAGGGTGATAGGGTGATAGTAAGCACGAGGTAACATAATGGTGCGGACGATGCTAGTGTCAAGCAGTAGATGAATTTAACGACTTGTTGGTGAGCGTGAAGACAGGCTGCGAAAGAGATAATGAAAATAAAGCTCGGGTAAAAGCTACTAGAATTCTCATACAATAGATGGTATGTGTAGATAATGTAGTAGATACTATTCATTCATCGAAAAGTGTTGTTTCTTGGATCAATTCATACTATCCACGAAAAACACACTGATATATTAGTTCATAGAACCTTGATCAAGCTTCTATAAAACATTCGGCTCTGAATATTTACAAAGGAAGCTAAAATCAGACGGGTTTAGGAGCTCGCCCGAGTCAAGTCCCAAGTGTAAGTCGGTGGAGTCATAAAAATGCAAATGTTCGTGCGACTGCGCACTATCATCAGAATCGCCTTGCATGGCAAATCTTTCGGATGAAGTATTTAGCAAGTTGGGTATTCCGATAGCAGAATGGTTTTCTGACATGTCTATACGCTCGGTTAATGAGTGGTACTCTGAGACAAGGTTGGTATTCTTACACATCACTGATAACCAGTTTGAAAGTGCAGAAGTATATCGAACACATTTTTCTGCCATTCTATTTCCTTTGAAAATCAGGGATAAGCATTCTGTTGCTCCATGAAGAGATTCTATGGACAGATGCAACTCTTCCATAGCCATTGGCTGGTCCCATAGCTTTGTTTGGTGCTGGATGATTAATGCGGAATATAACACAAGTGATGCGTTAAAAGCTGTGAAAGTGAGCTTGACCTCGTGAGATATGCGATAGCTCTTTGCCACTTACTGTAATAGAGTGAAAACCACCACGCCCCAAGGAGATTTCGGTGGGGACTGTTGTGTTTCAATGCCCAGCTCGTTATTTTAACAATGTTGGTTGCCGACTGAACACAAAGCTGGACACTATTGGCTCCGACCTGACGCAACGTAGCTAACTGCAAAGGATCTATCTGAGATGCTCCCAGACTCTCCAAATACATACAGAGTATTGGTCGGTGTGCAAGTATGCGCAAATTGAGAAATCTTAGTGTCAATATGATACGCAGACTCATGACCCTGAAATCGTTTGCTTCCTGCTCCAGATCCTCTAGTCGTATCAACGATATTTGCTTTGGCAGGTCACGCTGCCAAGAGAAGAATTTTTGCTCGCATCTTAGAAGGTAGGAGGCGGCCTCGAAAACATCAGTATGATCTTCACATCCTAGATTGCTTCCGTATAGAACGTCAAGGACATCTGTCATTATTCGGTAAAGCGTTCTGTAGCTTGTTAGAGACGGGGTTTTCCCATAGGGCTTCTCATACTGACATAGTCGCTGTAAAGAACTGAACGCTCCCTTCATCTTCTGGCGCCGAGTCCTCAAGGATCTGTGGAAGTTCAATTTTGACAAAGTGCTCTGGGATAGAAATGGGCCGTCCCATCGTCATACTTAGTGTTCTGAGTCGGTTAGAACAGGTTGCCAAATAGCTGGTAATACTTTCCTGTCAAGCATGACACACCCATACCAAGTTCTTTTGCGGAACTCACGTTCTCGAGGTGGATACTGCTGGAGAGCATCCGAAGAGTGCAAACCTAATTGATAAGCTGCCTTCACAGCAAGACCGTGTATGTTCCACGTCTCAACTGAACGTTCGGAACCTTGGAGGTACTGGCTCATCAACAGCAGGAGTTGGACTACATGTATACTATCAGACGTAGAGACGAGAAGAGCCGGGGTATCTCTACTTACCAATCTCAACACTTGTACCATGTCGTATTTGTCGATCACAGAGATCTGAAGCGCGGCGAAAGTAGATATTTGACCTGTATGTACGCTCTTGCGCAGATAGTGTTGCGTCATAATCTGTGTTGGCGTTTGTTGCCATTGCAAGTACTACGTTAAGCAAGCCAAGCCATGACCTCCGCACTGAAACAATGTTTGTCGAAACAAGCTGCCGATATGTCTGAAGAAAGCCTTCTTTGTCGATGTATGGAAAAAGGGTTCCTGTTGAACGAAAGTAAAGCTCTATAAGGTGAAGGGTGTCTTGTTGTGGTGGCAAAATGAATGGCTCTGTTCCAACCGAAGCAGCATCAAAATGACCAGTAAGAATCGGTATCGGGGATGGGGGCCGAGATATACGCGGGATGTGACTTGTTATGGTGTATTGTTCGGGAGATATCGGGCTACCCATTGATGCAGCTTTTTTCAAGATAGCAATCGTCAATTGAACGATGCGACGTGTAAATGCTATGTTGGAGGATGGCCCTAAGTACTCTGTTAGTCATTTAAAGCATGTGATACTCCTGAAGCAGTGTTATTACCAAAAAATCGCAAGTCCTCTTCATCTGTGAAAATCATTGAGCCCATTCCATCAGTCGGATCTTCAAGATCAGCTAAATTTCTTGCACTTTCTTCCTCCTGCGGAAGTGATACATCACTAGGGATCCCAGATGGATGCGACAGAGAAGACCCACATGCAGTCCCCTTGTTCTGCACATCTTCGATTTTGCTTACTCTGGTAGACATTCCTGTAAAACCATTTTCAAGACGTATGAGCCTCGCCTCGAGTGCTTCTATAAGTCTACAACCGAGTCAGATTAGAAGGACTGCTGGCAACGCCGTACTGTTGGCTAGTAGGAGGCTAACCCTTTGGAAATAGAATTCTTGGTTAGAACTCCCGTAGTAGAATATGCGCATTCAAGGCTGTAATCTTTGCAAACAGAACATTTTGGTCGCAATCCATCACACTATTCAAACCACTTAGCAATCATCAAAAGTGATGAGCGAAGGCTAACGCCCGAAACCACGAAAGTGTCCAGCTCATGAGCCCAGACACAAGGTGCTTTCACTTACACGTGATTTTCGCTGTCGGCAGTTTGTACATGCAATTGTTGCTCTATTCCTCTTCGCCGGCCTTGTTGCAGCACTTTCATCAGCTCGTGTCGAGACATCGTTAGGACGGTGATCACTGTTGAGACCCGGAGATGTCATCATGTCATGTGGTCGGAATGTCTCCGGTCTGAAATGCTCAAAGCCGAAAATACTAAGGATGATTCTTAACCGGTCAATGTGTTACAACAGCACACCGCGGACTTAAGAGTAAAAGTCCCTGGTTCACCATGTGAGATATGAATGCCCCGCATTTTGTCCACGCAATCATGCCGGGACGTCCGAGCTCTTCCGCTAATTCATCGGACCGAAAGTGCTTAACTCCCCGCAAGCTATTACAGGCTGGAAATGACTACGCAGGTCTAGTACTGTTAGGCGATAGCATGCCGTTGCTCAATTTCTATCTCCGAGTTGCTGTGCTATCTCATCAGTTTAAAATTATGGGACTTCCTCCATTTTACCGATATTCTACGAATCTTATAATGAAATCTATCACAGTCGAACAGAAAAGTCCTTCATGTTCCGCCGAATTTTAAATATGCTGGTTTCATGGAATAGATTAATCCGCTTCGTGGCGACGGATGGCCGAGTACTACGTGGCGAGCCGATTCTTCCCAGCCCAGATTTTGACTTGGGTCAAACAGATGAAAAGACCAAGCTACAGGCAAGGGTGATCATTGGAGATGATATCTATGACACCACCGGCAAAACCATAGTGTCCGATGAGGTTGTTACAGTACAAACGCTGCTAGGCCCTCTCGAGCGGAATGACGTTGACATTCTCCGTTGCGTTGGCCTAAATTATGCAAAACATAGTAAGTGAAACTATAACTATGTAGCCATCTTGCTTGTCAATGTTGTATCCTCGACTAATGAAAAAATCAAGTACGCGAAGCTGGACGGAGCCCTCCACCGTTCCCTTCCATCTTCTTCAAGCCCAATACATGCATCCATGATTTTGGCGCTGATGTTGTTATCCCAAAGATTGCACAGGATGATCAAGCTGACTATGAAGGCGAGCTGGTTTTAGTTATTGGCAAAGATGCGAAAGATGTAAAGCTTGAAGATGCTCTGGATTACGTGGCTGCGTATACAGCCGGTAACGATATCTCATCACGCAAACTCCAGCGCGATCCAAAGCTGGCTGGGGTAGTGCCTCAATGGGGTTACTCCAAAGGCTTTGATACATTTGCTCCCCTAGGTCCTGCTCTGGTGAGGCCTGACCTGATTGGGGATTACAAGGAGTTGCTGCTGCAGACAATAATAGATGGTGAAATCAGACAAGAAGAGTCTTTAAGTGATCTGCTATTTGACTGCAGATATCTGATTCATTACCTGTCTCACGGTACAACCTTGCGCAAAGGTTCAGTAATCATGACAGGAACTCCAGGAGGTATGTTGTCAAACTTATGCTGAACGTTCTGAGCACTGAGATTAATTGGTCTTAGGTGTAGGTGCAGGTCTGAAACCTCCAAAGTATCTCGTTCCGGGCACGATCATGGAGGTCGTGATCAGTAAGATTGGAACTTTGAAGAATGGTGTAAAATTTGCATAGATAACTCGTCCTAGCTTCAACGATGAATTTCAATGGAGACTATGACTTTAGATATTGTTATCACGCGTGGAAAAGGTAATTGATTGTTCATTCAAATAATTTTCTCGTGAGAGCTTTTTGCAATGCGGCAATTTCATTTGATTAAGCCATTTAGTATTATTATTATTATTATTATTAATTAACGTCCTGTCTCAGCTGGTAGGCTATATAAGACGTGCAGGCTAGGCCTACAGGTAACTACGTAGTGC